TTATTGAGACCTCCTATGAAGACTGCTGTGAGACCTTAAGAAAATATATTAACCTCTCTGGGGCTCCACTGCTTCTGGCATGAAGTGAGGCTCTCAAGACCCACTTCATGGGGTTCTAGGAGAGGTCTGTGAATTTAATGCATGCCCTTGGCATAGCATTTCCACAAGGGTGGCTTCCCCGCCCCTCCTCCCAAGCTGGGGCCAGAAGGGTCTTCGGAGTCTGAGGAGGCCAGAGGAGTGGCAGGCCCCAGGCTACATAGGGCCTTGCATTCCAGGCCATTTCAGAGATGGACAGGAAGGAGAGGCTGGAGGCCAAGAGACTGGAGAGCAGGCTGGGCTGAGGGTCCAGGGGGCGAGGAGGAGACCTGAGCTGGCCGGGGGCAATGAGGACGGAGAGGAAGAGCCTGGTGGACTGTAGGGCAGTGGGAGGCAGGAGGGTCACCATGTTGGGCGGTTCTTAGAGTCTCATGTCCTGAGGTCTCCCTAGCAGGGCAGGCCAGGCCAGGCCCCTTCGAGGAGGCTAAGTACGTCCTTGGCCCATTGCCTGTTGTGTGGGCCCTAGCTGTGTCCCCTGTTCCTCCTGCTGCTGGTCTCTGCCCCAGTTCAGTTGCCATCTTCATTCCTCTGCTCCAGCCAAGGGAGCAGCATGCCAGACCCTGGACGGGGCATGGGAACAAAATGGGCTCCGAACCCAGGGAGAAAAAACGTCACCCGGGGCCAGATTTAATTTACAAGGTAGGGAAAGAAATGCACAGCTTCTGCTTGGGGACACACAGGAAGATTCAGCCAAGCCGGAATCCCAGTGCGGGCCTCCTAGCCAGCCTCCATGCTCAAGCGCAGAGAACGGCAGGGGGAACGGCATTCCTGGTGGGAGGAACTGCAGACACAAAGGCCAGGGGTGCATTTGGGGGCTTTGGCTGGAGCGAGGGGTACATCGGGAAGGAGGGACTGGGCCAGAGCTGTCTCGGGCTCACCTCTGCTCTGTACTCGCCACGTGGCCTTGGCCAAATCGCTCCCCTTCCCTCAATGCCCATTTTGTTATCTGTGGCCTCCTAACCTGCTGGGAGACCCCAGTCCTCTCCCTTTCGTGCCTTGGTTATTTATTGACTGTTGACGCCCAGTCATTTATTGAGCAACTGATTGTTCTGGGCTCGGAGAGCCAGTGGTGAGATTTGAACGCTATTGGCTTTGAGTGATTTCAGGCTTTGAGAGTTTCTAACGTCCCCACAGGGGATTCTAAAGTGCCTGGGGCTGAGAGCCACAGAGGCAGCTGAAAGGACATAGCAAGGGCTCTTTGATGGTCCTCCACTTTTGTCCCGGTAACTCCCTTCATTCATTTACACATTCATTCATTCATTCACTACACCTTCAGTCAATATGCTAACACTGTGGATTCCACCCTGGCCTCCTAGGGTGGGGCTTGGATCCCCATCTGGAGATTGTAAGCGCTGAGGGGGGTGGTGGGACACCCTCATATATATACATTTCTGCATCCAGTGACTATTTCGGGGATACCTGAAAGATCCAGGATCTTTGCTTTGCTAGCATCTCTGTTTTTCTCTCCCGTAGGCTAGGGAGGAAATTTCTCCCTCAAGGAGCTGTTTTGTTGGTGAGATCAAAGACTAAACTAGCAAGGAACGCTGAAGGGACCTTCAAAGTCCTGAGCATTTATCAGGAGCCTGGTGCTTAACATACATTATCCCTTTTAATCCTCAGGTAGGCATTAAAACCCTAAGGTTGAGATTACTGTTATCTTCATGTGACAGGTGAGGAAACAGGCTCAAAGAGGTGAGATCTGCTGCTCCGGGCACAGAGACAGCATATCTGACCCATCAGAGCCAAGGCCCAGCAACTTCACCAGCTAATCCGCCTAGTAACTGATGACCTCACGGCTCCACCCACTGGGCTAAATCTGCCTGGCAACTAGTGACATCACTAATTCCCCAGGCTGCACTCAACCTATAGGATAACTGATGACATCCCTGAACAATAAAGTAATTACAATGTGCTGAGGGCCTACTGTGTGCCAAAGGCTGTACCAGGCAGCCTCTCCTCTGGGCTCACACAATGCCCAACGTTGCCTCTATTACTGGTATAATGACAGTAATTTTAGCCCAGATTTATTGAATGCAGACTAGGAGCCAGGCTCTATCTTAATCATTTTTATTTCCATTGCCGCATGAAACCCTCCAACTAAACCTATTTTTTAAAAAATTAACAAACACGTATATTGTGCTTACTTCTGTGCCAGGCCCAGTCCTAAGCTCTTTTTAACATGCTCACAACAACCTTCTGAGGTAGTGTTTATTATGCTCCCCATTTGATGGATGTAAGAACTGAGGCACAAGGAGGTTGAGTGACTTGCCCACGGCCACACAGCTGGCGGAGGTATCCTTCAAACCCATGTATTCCGGCTCCAGGGTTAATGCTGCTAACCAGCACACCATGCCATTTCTCCTATTCCCATTTTACAGCTGAGGAAACTGAGGCGCAAAGCGAGGCAGCACCAGGTCTCACTGGGCTAGCAAGTGCCAAAACCAGACTGAGCCCACAAGGCCCAGCTCCAGAACCACACTCCTATTCATACCAGTTCCACTTTGGTTACTTAGAAGCAGGGCCTGCAAAGCCTCCACCCCTACCCCTTTGAGGTGACCAGCCCTTCCTTCCCTGTCTCCTTGGGAACAGCCCCCAGCCAGGGACAGAGAGGGCCTTTGCCAGCCGACCATAGATCACATGCCAGGTTCCTCCACAGCCTCCTCCAGGCCTGCCTTGGGACACTGCCCTTGGGAAACCCTGGCTTTCTGCACTGAGCCTCACCTGGGCTCTGCAGAGCCCTCCTGAGACTCCAGGCAGAGGACACAGTTCTCCACCTTTGTCCTTCTGCTGTAAGCCTGAGCCTGGTACCAAGCCCCAGAGAAAGTCCTCACCCCTCAAATCTCCCAAGGCCTTCGGGAAGGACACCGGGAGTGGGGGAGGGTAGAGCTCAGTGGTAGAGTATGTGCTTAGCATGCACAAGGTCCTGGGTTCAATCCCCAGTACCTCCATTAAAAAATAAATAAATCTAATTACCTCCCCGCAAACAACAACAACAACAAAACAAAAACAAACTAACAAAATCACTGGGAGAGTCCCGGGCAAGTCTCAGCCCTCAGTGGGCCTCAGTTTCCTCATTAGTCAACTGGGTAGACAAGGAAGAATGACCAGAAAAGGCTTGTGCAAGTCAGCTGGGTTTTCAACCTCACTAGGCCCCACATCTCACCCCCTTTTATTCAAAACAATTGTTTTAGTAGGAAAGGTGTTTTTTTCCCCTTGTTTTATTCATTCATTCATTGAAAGTTTTATTAAAGGAAAACATGAGTGCTGTGCAGAGAGCTTCAGGCAACCGCTCAGCAAATTTTGCAAAGTAGGCAACGCGGGTGAAACCGGCCCCCTCATCAGCCCCCACCCCACAAGGCCACCCCACCTTCTAATACTGTAGGTTACTTGTCCCTCCGTTTGAATGTCCCCTCATTGGAATCCTATCCTCTGGGAGATCCTGTGTTTCTGAGTGTCATCTGTGTGGTCACACCCCAGCCTTCTTTATGTAACAGAATATTTGTAAATCCTCTTCGCTATCCTAAAACTAAATCCACAGACAATATGACCCACTTACACACACATAATTTTTTCTTCCGGCTCAAAGTACTGTGCTAAGTCTACCATAAAGGACCACAAATGGTAAGTAGTACGGTGTGGCAGCCAAGACTGGGCGGATCCAGGCTTTGTGGGGCCTGAAGTTTATCTGGTTTCGAGGAGGTTCTCTCTGAGAAAAAGGATCAGTACGTGTGACTGCAACATGAGGTAGTGGGAATGTTTGTTTAGAGTGAGAAAAGAAATGACAGCAAGTAGTTTCGCTTTGAAAGCTGGCAAACACCCCACATATTCCAGAAAAATAACACACCAGCTTCTGGCTTCAAACCTGTCTCCTCTTCCACCCAAAACTTTTGGTTCCAGGTGCCCTTGGACAGGTGATGGGTAATCTGACCTCGGACCCAAGCCTTCCGGTCATTAAGCCCAAGCAATGCTGCTGGAAGCACTTCCTGTACCCAGCCAGCTCCCCATCCCCAAACTGTATACAGAGGTGACCGCAGACCTGATCACTGTCCCACGCCAGCCCAATGAAATGTATCTCCAACTCGAGTTCTCCTTACCCAAGTCCCCAACATCCCTATCGCTCTCCCACACCACAGACAGAAGACCCCGGGAAAGTGTGCGATTAAACAGATGAGCCATCGGATTAAACGGATGGCTCCTAAAACGTCTCACTTTGGGAAATTTTACTTACGTGTACGGCTATATGAACCCATTGCAGGGGTTTTGGAAAAGCAGCTTGAGTGAGGGGCCGGAAGCTTAAGGCTGTTTTAGCTTCCCGGGGACTCCACAGCTGGGCTCTGCTGCTCTGTGACTGCCTAGGAAGGGTGACTGCTTGGGCCTTGGTTTCCCCGTTTGTAACGTGGGTGGTGACTTGGTGTCTTCCTTGAGGGTTGGGGTGAAGAGTAGATGTATGGAAAGTGCTTAGCCCCCCTCGGCAGATGGGAGGTGCTGCATGCCCCGCCAGCGGTGTAGCTTTAGGCAAGCCACTCAACCTCTCTGTGCCTCACTTTCTTCATCCAGAAAATGGGGAGAATAAGCATCGTCACCTCATAGCGTTGTTAGGGGAGTTAATAAATCATCCTCACTTTGTGAATGAGGAAATGGGGTGCAGAGAAAGTTCCTTGTCAGGGACCCGCTAGCAAGTGGAGGCAGCCCTCAGTGCCCTTCCTCACCTGCCCTGAGATTCCTCCGCCACTTTTTGCCGCCACGTGTCCCAGAGGCCTCCGCTGTGAAGCTGGACCCTGTGCAGGCTCCTGGAACCTTGAAATCTGCTCAGTCGCAGGCCCCTGGTCTCCCACCCTCCCAAGGGTGACCTCGGTCCTAGCCTCCTCCCCAGTCCTCACGGTGTCTCCCCCACCCTCCTACAGCCAGAATTTGTCAGGCGAATACTTCAGGTACAAAGGCATCCCCTTCCCCGTCGGCATCTACTCACCCGAGAGCATCAGCATGGCAGAGAACGCGGATGTGCAGGATGACGACATCTTTATCGTCACCTACCCCAAGTCAGGTAACTGCTGGGCCGGGGCGGGGAGAGGGGACGGTGCTAGGGAGTGTTGGGGTGGGTGTGGGACAGAGGATGAGAAGGGCACAATAGGGAAAATGGAAAGAGGAAAGCGGGGAGGAGGTTCGGAAGGCGCCTTGGTGGGCTCAGGACCAGGGTGAGCTTGGCCTTTGCACTGGCTGGTTCCTCCGCCAGGAGGCGCCCTTCCCCCAGATCCCTCCCTTCCCCTAGGCTGGCTCACCGTCCCAGGGGTGCCTTCCCTGACCTCTCTGGCTAAAATAGCATCCCCATCCTGTCCTTCTCTACCCCTTAACTCCCCTCATACTGTTCGGCGCTGCCAGCCACTGTGTTATATTTTCATTTGTTGATTTCGTCTCTGGTTTCCTCAATACAACACAGCTCCTTGATCACTAGTGTAGTCTTTGAGCCTGAATAATATATGACTGGCACATATTCAATAAATATTTGGGGAAGGAACTCTTTTTTTTTTTTGAGGTACTGTGGATTGAACCCAGGATCTCATCTTTTGAATGTATCATGTTTTTGAAGTTCATCCATGTTGTTGCCTGTGTCAATATTTCATTCCTTTTTATGGCTAAATAATATTCCATGGTATGGGTGTACTGTATTCTGTTTAGTCATACAAACAATCAGTTTTCTTTTCACTCTTTTACTCTTATGAATAATGCGTGTAGGAACATTGACATACAAATCTGTCTGTGGATGTGTTTTCATTTCTCTCGAAGTTCTATGAGTTTTGATAGACAAAGTCATAGAACCACTATAATCAAGATACAAAACAGTTCCATCCCCCCCCCAAATTCCTTCACACCCCTTTGTGGTCAGTTCCTCCCATTCATCTGTTGAAGAAACTTTGTGTTGTTTCCACTCTAGGGTGAGTATGAATATGGCTAGTATGAAGCTTTGCATACAAGTCTACACATGGAAATATATTTTCACTTGATCTTGGGTAAATACTTAGCAGTGGGATCGCTGAGTTTACGGGAAGTACATATGCTTAACTTTATGAGAAACTGCCAACCTGGTTTCCAAAATGGGAACCATCCTGCATTTTTTACAAGCTGGCTTACCATCTTGCCTTCTCACTGGCAATGTTGGTGGGTTCCAGGTGCTCCACTTCCTTGTCAGCACTTGATAATGTCAGATTTTTTTAAAAAGCCTTTCTAACAGATGTATTCTAGTATTTCATTGTGGTTTGAATTTGCACGTCTCTAATAGCTAATTATGTTGAGCATCTTTTCATGGACTTATTAGCCATCATATATCTTCTTTGATAATGTATCTGTCCAAAACGTTTTTTGCCCTTTTCAATTGGGTTGTTGGTCTTCTAATTATGGGGCGTTGACAGTTCTTTATACAATCTGAGTCCACATCCTTTATCAGATATGCCTTTTGCAAGTATTTTCTCCAAGTCTGTGGCTTGTCTTTTCATTCTCTTTTCAGTGTCTTCTCGGAGCAAAAGTTTAAATTTTTGATGAAATCCAACAGCCAATTTGTTCTTTAATGGATCAGACTTCTGATGTCATGTCTGAGACATCTTTTCCTAAACTAAGGCCAATGAAGATGGTCTTTATGTTTTCTTCTAGAAGTTTTATAGTTTTAGATTTCACACTGAAGTCTCTGATCCATTTTAAGATAAACTTTATATATGGCATGAGATATAGATCAAGGTTCTTTGTTTCCATATGGATGTCCAGTTATTCTTTTAGTTTTTTTTTAAATTTAAAATGTATTAATTAATTTCTCTCTTAGTAATATATTCATGGTTCAAAATTCAAAAGGTACAAAAGGTTTACTCTGTAAAATCTCTGTCCTCCCACAGCCACCAGTAGTCCCCATGTATCCTTCCAAAATGTGCATGTACAAGCAAAAATGTACATAATTTTTTAAAACTTTTTTCCCACAAAAGTTAACACGTGATACACACCAGTCTGTGTCATGGTTTTGATTGGTTTTGCCTTCTATTTTGACATCATCCCATCTGAGAACTGTAAACAAAGAGCTTCCTGTTGTTGGTTTTTGTTTTTTTTTACAGTTCCACAGTATTCCATAACAGCTGTACAAGAATTCTTGTTTAACTAGTTCCTTCCTGATTAGGATTTACTAGTTTCCAATCTTCTGCCTTGATATACAGTGCCACATCTTGTACATGTATCATTCGCACACATTCGCACTTAACTGCAGAACAAACTCCTAGACATGGAATTGCTTGGTCCGAGGCTCTGTGCACTTGCAATTTTGATGAATATAGCTAAATTGCCTTTCATAGAAGTTGTGGAAATCTGTTCCCCAAACAGCAGGCTTTGTTTGAAACAGCTTTGGAGCTAGACTGTAGTGATATTCGCACAATAAAGAGAAGGTACTTAATGCCATAGAACCGTACTCCTAAAAATGGTTAAATTGGGGGGACGGGTGGGTATAGTTCAGTGGCAGAGTGCATGCTTAGCATGCACAGGATCCTGGGTTCAATCCCCAGTACCTCTGCTTAAATTGGTCTAGTTCATGTTATGTATATTTTCTACCCACCTACAAAAAAAGAATTATTAACTGGTAACAGGGGATTATACAGGCAGAGCCAATACAAAGAGTAGCTGCTCCCTCTAGGGCTGAAGAAAAGCGCTCAAGGAAATTTGCTGGGGGGTTGGCGGAGGCATAAGTGCCACTGGTGTCCCCTGCACTGCTGGCCGCTGTCCATCACAAGAGCCAGCCCGCAGCAGCTCAGGAGAACCAGGAAGAGATAGCCCATCCTTCTACAGGGTTCCTCTGGCGCCCTCTACTGACAAAGATTAACATTGCGCTAGCTGGCAAGGGAGAAATGTTTCCAGGGTCTAGCTCCAATGTCACAAAACCCGCCAATCCAGTGCGGATTTGGAGCTGAGAGGCAATACATTGAGAACTGGCACAGGGTAGCTGTTAGAATCCAAGACAATAGAATACTAATTCCAAGTGATTGAACAAAAAGAAAAAAGAAAAATTTAAAAAGAAGAAGAAAAAAAATTCCAAGTGATCATTAACATTATTATTATTTCTCATTTAACCTGCCTGTAGTCTCCTAGAATCTGGACCTCTGAACTGGGTCATTAATGAGGTCTCTTCCCTCTGTGTGGAGTCTGTGGCTTCCCACAGAAATCAAGGTGTTATTTCCAACCAGGGGCAGTGAACAGAGCTGAGATTTTAAGTCTAGACACCTAGATTCAATTCCAGTTTCCTCCGTGTATTAACAGAGGGCTTCTGTCCTAATACATAAGCCTCAGAATCTCAGAAGCTGAACCCAGTGGTTTATTTCTCATTCCCATAAACTCCAACTGGTGCAGGATGGATGCAGGGAAGTGGGGGAAAATCTATGCAGTCTCCAGCATCCCAGCTCCTTCCAACTCATGGCTCTGCCATCCCCAGGAGCCCCAGTTTCCACTGGCATCTCTGCATCCAGCCAGCAGAGAGGGAAGGGCGGGTGTCACGTGGTAGGTGTTTATGGGCCAGGCCTGGAAATGTCTGCACATCGCTGCCACCTGCACTTCCTTGGCCAAAACCCAGTCACATGGCCCCACATGTAGCTGCAGGGGAGGCTGGAAAAAGGCAGTCCCATGATATTCCCGGTAGGGAAACGAAATGGGGATGGGTGGACAGCTAGCCAGTCCCTGCCACCTGCCGCTTCCTAGCTCTGCTGCCTTGGCTGGCAACTTTGTTTCTTTGAGCTTCAGTTTCCTGCTTCTAAAATAAAGATAACCAACTCTAAGGGGGCGGAGGATAGAGGGATAAATTAGGAGTCTGCGATTAACATATACACACTACTATATATAAAAGAGATAAACAACATGGACCTACTGTATAGCATAGGAAACTATATTCAGTATCTTGTAATAACCTATAATGGAAAAGAATCTGAAAAGAATATACATATATATATGTATCTGAATCACTTTGCTGTATACCTGAAACTAACACAACATTGTAAATCAACTCTACTTCAATTAAAAAAAAAAGATAACCAACCCCTGACTTCTTTGCTGGTTTTAAGAAATCTGTGCAATAAAATAGGTAGCAAATTGTGCAATAGATGCAGCCATTACGCTTTTGATTATATCCTTCTCTTCACCCCTCCCCACTTCTGATTAATTTGCCCAATTTCTCCTGACAGGCACCAACTGGATGATTGAGATCATCAGCTTAATCCTCAAGGATGGGGACCCCTCTTGGATTCACTCGGTACCCATTTGGAAGCGGTCACCCTGGTGTGAGGCCATCATGGGTGCCTTCAGCCTCCCCGACCAGCCCAGCCCCCGCCTCATGAGTTCTCACCTCCCCATCCAGCTCTTCACCAAGGACTTCTTCAACTCCAAGGCTAAGGTGATGGAGGAAGGGCGGGTGTTGGGGGAGGGGGGCTTAACTAACTGACGAACTTAGCACATACTTATTGAATACCTACTATGTGCCTGGCCCTGATCTAGAACAGCAGTAAATACACACACAAGAACACCTGCCCCGTGAGCCACATTTTAAAGGGGACAGGCAGTGAACAGATGGCCTACATAAGGAAAATATTTAACACGTCCAAGGCGATAAATTCACAGTGAGAAGGGGGAGAGGGTAGGACTAGAGTTAGGGGTGGGGATTGCAATGATAAATAGGGTGGTCATGGAGGCCTCAGTAGGAAGGTGCTGTTTGAGTAAAGACCTGGGAGGTGAGAGAAAGGAGCCAGTGGAATGTCTGGGGAAAGAACATTTCAGGCAGAGGCAAGAGCAGGTACAAAGGCCCTGGGGTGGGTATGGCATGCCTGAAGCCCAGCAAGGGGAACTATGTAGCTGGATCCAAGTCAGCAAGGGGGAGAGGAGTGGAGATGATGTCAGGGAGGTAAGAGGGGCCAAAATGTGCAGGGCCACGTGGACTTTGGTGGGGAGTTTGCTTGTCTCTGAGTGGGACAGGAGCCAGGGGAGAGCTCTGAGCAAAGGAGAAATGGAGCCAATTTAGTTTTTCACATGTGCCCTCTGGCTACAAAGTGGGAACAGACTGTCGGGGAGAGGGCAGAAGCAGCGTGGTGGTGAGGAGGCCATAGGCTAGGTGGAAGGGGGTGATGGAGGTGATCAGGGTGATGGCCATGGAGGTGAAGGCAAAGGGCTGGGTTTAGGGGTGTATTTTGAATGTGGAGCCCAGAGGCTTTGCTTGGCAGATGGGATGTGGGTGTGAGAGAAACAGATGAGTCAAAGGTGACGGCAGGGGGGTTGGCTTAAGCAGTTGGGAGGATGGGGCCATCATCAACTGAGATGGGGAGGTTGGGGAGGAGAGGATCTGGGGGGAGATGGGGAGTTCTGCTGTGACCCATCGACGTCCAGGGGGAGGTTGCCAGTGGGCAGTGAGATAGACAAATCTGGATTTGACAGGACGGATGTAGGCTGGATGCATCTATTTGCAATCTGTTGAGATATGTATATATGGAGAGAAAGACAAAGAGACGGACAGATATACAGAGACAGAGAAATTAAAGCCAGGAGACTGGTAAGATCACCAAGGAAGGATATGAGTGCAGACAGAAAAGAGACGGCTACTGCAATCTTGGGGTCCCCAAGACCACTTTCAGACTCAGTGATTCGCTAGATGGATTCACAGAACTCAGCAAAGCTGTCATACTCACAGTTACAGCTTATTACAGAGAAAGGGTAAAGATTAAGTTCAGCGAAGGGAAGAGGTGCCTGGGGGAGCATCCAGGAGAGACCAGGCACCAGCTTCGAGTTGTCTCTTACAGTGGAGTCGCATGGACCGTGCTCGGTCCTCCAGCAGTGACGTGTGACAACACGCACAGGGCATCGATCACCTGGGAGGCTCACCTGAGCCTCCGTGTCCAGGGTTTTTGTTGGAGGTTTAGCCATGTAGGCATGGCTGACCTTGGCTTGGGGAAGGACATCTCTGATGGGGCTGGAGTAGGGTTGGTTGTGGAATCTGAAGCTGGTAAACAGATCGGAATGCCAGGCCCAGGGGCCAGGACTCCACCCTGGGCACTGGAGAGCCAAGGAGGGCAGGGTCAGCTTCTGGCGTTGTGTGGCGGCTGGGAGGCTGGGGAGGAGGCTAGGGTGAGAGTCCACGCAGGAAAGGATGAGGCTGGGGTCTTGGCTTTGGGAATAGGCAGGAGAGGAGGCTGCCTTTCTCTGTTGGTCAGTAGCCCTCACCAGGATCTCCCCACCCTGAACCCTATGCCTTCCTCCTCTTCTCTTTATCTCCTGAAGCCAAACTGTGCCTCCACCTGGTCTAGAAACAGTCCCTCTCTATTCCTAGAACATAGTTGGAAGGAGCTCTCTCCATCCTGTGGATTGATCTGAGCTCCCGTTAACTGGGAAGTCCCTTGAGAAGTCTAGCTTGAGTCCTTCCTGCTGCAGGATCAGAAGAAAAAGGGCATGCAGCTTGCTGGGCTGACATCTCTCCTCTTCCCAACACCCACGCACAGGTGATCTACATGGGCCGGAACCCCCGGGATGTTGTGGTTTCGCTCTATCACTATTCCAAGATTGCCAGGCAGTTGAAGGACCCTGGCACGCCTGACCAGTTCCTGCAGAACTTCCTCAAAGGCGAAGGTGAGGACTGGGGCAGAGTGAGGTGGGGGACCCCCGGTAGACCCAGATGGGAAGAGGGACAGAGGAGGGATGGGTAGGAGACAGAAAAAGAGACAGAGAGATAGAGAGACAGAGATACTGGGCATTATAAAGAGCAATGGAGACAGAGAAGAGACCAAGAGATTGAGAGAGAAAACAGAGACAATGAGATACAGAAACGGGGAGAAAGAACCAGAGAGAGGTTGAAAGACATGGAGGAAGCAAGAGAGAGAGAAATGGAAGCGGAGAGAGACGGAATTAGAGAGACACAGCGGGAGACAGAAGGACACGGGGAGCCCAATGTAGGGGGCTTGGGGGGAGGCCTCCAGCTGGGAGGGGCCAGGCCTGGGGCCACATGGGACAGGCTGGGCTCCTCTGAGCCCCAGCAAGGGGGGGCCAGCTGCCCGCCCCTCATCCCACCTGCCCCTCTGCCCGCAGTGCAGTATGGCTCCTGGTTCGACCACATTAAGGGCTGGATTCGGATGCAGGGCAAGGAGAACTTCCTGTTTATCACCTACGAGGAGCTGCAGCAGGTGATTCCCCAACCCCCACCTCAGCCCAGCAGCCCTATTACCCCTCCCCTCCTCATGCCCGCCAGCTTCCCTTCCGGTAAGACAAAGAGCTGAGGAAAAAAGGTGAGTGGGGAAGGAGGAGGCAGTGGGAACAGCCAGTGGAAAGCCCCTGAGGTGAGCATGTGCTTAATGTATTTCAAGGAGAGCAGAGGCCGCCGTGGCCAGAGCCGAGGTTGGGGGTGCTGGGAAGTGAGGGCAGAGAGGGGATGGGGCCCACAGTGAGGGCTCTGGCTTTTCTCTGAGTTGGTGGAAGCCCCAGCTGGGCTCTGAGCAGAGGTGACAGGATAAATGGGATGATGAAGAACTGTGATACGTGGGAAGCGATGATGGTTTAATGATGGTTGTGACCTGAAATGCGGAGGGAAGCAAAGGAAAGAAACAGCCTTAGGAGTCAGACAGGGAGCCTATCTGGACCCCATTGAACATCCTGGGGGCAGGTACCCGGGAGAAAGAAACTTTCCGGCTAGGGCAATCAGGGAGGGCTGCCTAGAAGAAGGGGCCATACAGAGTGCCTATGGCTTTACCCAGGCAAGGAGATGCTGGGCTTCTAGATGCACCAGTCCACAGTAAATGTGTCCAACTGTTCTGTGTTCTTAACAAATATGTGTCCTGAGATGCTGAGAACTTAAGAGGCTCTCAACACATTCCTTCACCAACATTCCCAGACATTCTCTTCCCATGTGTGCATTTCATGCATTTTTGTACCCTCCTTTCTGTCTGTGCTTTTTGCAGCCTAAAGAGCCTGGATTTTGGTGTTGAAAAAGCTGTTAAAATCTTTTTTTAAAAAATGTTTATAGTTTCTTGTTTATTTATATTCTTTTTTATTGAAGTATATAGTTGATTTACAATGTTGGTAGTTTCTGGTGTACAGCATAGTGATTCAGTGATAAATATATATTCTTTTTCATATTCTTTTTCATTATAGGTTATTATGAGTTATTGAATATAGTTCCCTGTGCTATACCGTAGGATCCTGTTGTTTAAAATCCCCTTAAAAATCTCTCAGAACACAACATTGTAAAATGATTATAAATCAATAAAAAATGTTAAAAAAAAAATCTCTCAGAGCCTCAGAAGTCTCATCCTTAACATGGGTGAAAAACGCTGGAGCAGAGGGTTGTTGTGAGGGCCACAATATCGGGCACTGGCGTATTATAACCATCTGACAAGCTATTGCAAACAGTTAGTATAGTGAGCAAAGTAAGAGTGATTAGGTACTGAGCGAGGGCCTATCTGATTAGTAACAGCCCCAGTATCAAATGTTTCAGCCTCTCTGACAAATGTCAGGCACCAAATGCTGCACACAAATGACTTGGTTTAACCTTGTAAGTATCAAATGTTTCAGCCTCTCTGACAAATGTCAGGCACCAAATGCTGCACACAAATGACTTGGTTTAACCCTGTAATCGGTGAGGTACAGATTAGATCAAACAACATGAAATGCCCGTATTTGACCAGTTTCGAGCTGCAAAAAAAAAAAGATAATTTTCTATGCTTCACCCCAATATTGTTATTGCCCCCATTTTATACAGGAGGAAACAGGGAGGTTATAACCTAGAGAGGGTAGGGGTCTTCCCTGTGGGCCCCATGGGTTATTTTCCCCCACCCTTGTAAATCTCTTTTGATGGAAAGATCCAGAAAATATTTCAGCACTACCCCTCCCCCCCTTTTTTCCATCAAGCTTTATTCTCCAAACCCAAAACTGGGCCACGCAGCCTGACAGAGCTTCTGGGCTGCCCCTGGGTGTGAGGAACTGCCAACATGTTTGAATTTCTGGGACACCTTAGTTGTTCAACAGGATAAAGGGATGGAGGCTTATGAAACCAAGAATGACCTGGAAAATCGGGGCCGTGGGGTTGGTGGAGCTGACCGGTGCCAGGCGCTGCATATTAGGGAAGGCAGAAAGATGGAAAGGAGGATGTGGGCTTTGGGGACTCAGATCTGTTTTCCTCCTTAGCTGTGTGACCCTGGACAAGTGTCTTCCCCTCTCTGAGCCTCCATTTACCTACTCGGGTAATGACACCTCTCTGTAAGGCTACTGGTAGGTCCGATGGCAGGTATTCATGAGGGGGTTGGACTAGAGATTGGTACACAATAGGCGCACAATCCACAGTGACTTTCCAACCTGAAAGAGGGTGATTCTGCATAAGATGCTGAACTGACCTCCGCCCCCTGCTGTGACCTCTGACCCAGCCCCACCCCTTCCCTCCCTACAGAACCCTCCAAAACCCTAAACTGCAAAACCCCTCAGAGGTCATGGCCCAACTGCCTGGCTTGGAGGTGGGGAAACTGAGGCAGAGGCAGAATCACCCAGATTCCAGATCTGGGTTGGGACTCAGGAATCCAAACTCTGGGACTGAAGTTTCTTTCTCATCTGGGGTCCCCTTCCTCCACTGACTCATCCCCTGCCCCTTCTCCCCTGTCCCCAGGATCTCCACAGCTCCGTGCAACGCATCTGCCAGTTCCTGGGCCGGCCGCTGGGTGAGGAGGCGCTCGAATCCGTCGTGGCACACTCGTCCTTCAATGCCATGAAGGCCAACACCATGTCCAACTTCACGCTGCTGCCCCCCAGCCTGCTGGACCAGAGCCATGGTGCCTTCCTCCGGAAAGGTGTGAGGACTCGGGGGCTCCAAGGCTCATGAGACCACTGCCTGGCTGTGTGGCTTGGGCTAGTTACTTAACCTCTCTGGGCCTATTTCTCTAGCTCTTACATGGGGTGCTTGGAGCAGAACTGCATTTATGGGGTCACTGTGGACCCAGGATTGACTCTGCACACAGGGCTTGGCAAGGGGCCTGTCCTCCCAAGCCCACCACTCCCAGAGAGCTCTAAACTGGAAGAAGACGCTTGAGTACATTTTCTTCATAGCCAGCTCCAAACCACTATGAGGCTATTTCAAGTCTTCGTGAACCCTTCTTAGCATTAACGTTCACCCCAGAAATATTCAAGTGTTGGATTCAGGGTGAGGGTGGAAATGTATTAGTTTCCTGTTCCTGCTGTAACCCAATACCACCAACTTAACTGCTTAAAACAACACATGTTCGTACCTTATGGTTCTGGAGGTCAGAAGTCCAAAATCAGTCTCACTGGGACCATATTCTTTCTGGGGGCTCTAGAGGAGAATCGGTTCCCTGCCTTTTACAGTTTCCAGACCCGCCCGCATCTCTTGGTTTGCGGCCCCTTCCTCCGTCTTCAGAGCATCTTCTACTCTCTGACTCTGACCCTCCCTCATCCTCTTATAAGGATGCTTGCCATTAAATTGGGTCCACAGATAATCCAGGGTCCTCTCCCTACCTCAAGATCTTTAACTTAAATCACATCTGCAAAGTGTGATTTATCAGGTCACATATTCATAGGTTCCAAGAATTAGGTCTTAAAACATCTTGGTCGGGAAGTGGGTATTAACCCACCACAGGGAGCCCCACCCCCAGACCTCACTCAGAGTGTCTTGTAACATGCAGTGTGGGGACCTGCTAAAATTCAAAATACTGTGATCTAAATTACTTTGGCCCCAGGATTCCAGGTAAGGGCTGGTACCTCAGATTATCCTCCTGTGAGATCAGAAACCCGAGCCTCAGAGTGCTTGATCTGGGGCACACAGAACCAGCAGAGCCACGCCCTTTGCCTGCTCAGTTGCTGGGAGGATTAAAGAGTGAATCCCAGCCAATCTTCATCATTATGCCTGGTACCCACTGAGTGCTGGGACAGCACTGATTCCCAATGTCAGAGCAATAAATGGAGGTAAGGTAGGGCGTTGCAGGAGTGCTGGAGCGAGGAAACCCTGCTCTAGCCAGGGAGCAGAGGGACAGGTCACAGTCAACCTGTCCTTGTAAGAAGGTGAAGGAGGGTCAGAGTCAGAGGGTAGAAGATGCTTTAAAGATGGAGGAAGGGGCCATGAGCCAAGGGTTGCAGAAGGATCTGGAAACTGTAAAGGCAAAGGTTGGGAGTGTGTGCAGGAATACTAGATGGGGAGGCGGATATTCTGGGTAGAGATTTAAGAGATCCGTGCAGGAAGGTGAGAAGTCTGCTGGAGGGTTGAGTAGGGTGGGGCGGGGGGGAGGGAGGGAATGGTGCCCGGGGGTCTGGCCATTGTTAGTCATCATCAGAGG